TGATATCAGAGCTTAGGTTTCGCCACGATGTTTTCACATTGTGGGAGATCTTACCCAAGTGGATTGACTTGGGAAGAGGGTAAAGTGCTTGTTAGAGAGAAAATTCGTCTAAGGGATCTTCAAGATGATTTTCTTGATCAATTGTATACTCTTGAGTAAGGTGATATGTGTGCTGTTAATTATACAAGAAAATTCAAGGAATTATTTATCAAGTCTAGAGTAGTAGAAAGTGAGCAGATGACTATTCCCTGTTTCAAAAGTGGATCGAGATTTGGAATTAAAAAAGAGATGGTTCATGCATATTTAGAAGATCTCAAAGTTGCTATTGAAACGGCTATACAATTTGAATATTTTGTAAAATTTAAGGAGAAATCTACTGTTTTAAAGTTTATGTAGAATACAAAGGCTGTCCAACAAGACCAGCCAACAAAAACTCCAAAACGAAGGGTTAAAGTGCCACAAAAAAATACTGAAAATTCATAGGAAGATGCGCCAAAGCCAGATGTTGTTCGTAGGGATTAAAACCCTACATAGTTGAAGTTGCAAAGCACGGAATTTGTTCAAAATCTGCCTAACGAGAATGAAGGCCAGATTATGAAGGATGAGAAGCCACCAATTGAGGCTCCATGTATTGAACTCGAAAAGGCTAAGGGTGAAATAAAATAAATTGTCATTCCTTGTGCTCTTGAGAGTAATGAATTGAAAAGTGCAGTTGCTTGTTCAGAACATATAATGCCTTTAGAGGTCATGACATGACAATCCGAGGTCTCTGATGAATGTGCTCCAATCATAGTGAGTGTTTGGGAAGTTGCTATTTTAGTTTTTGGCTATTTTAGTAGGCTAAAATTTTTGTGTTTGGGAAAATGATTGGATTTTTTTGTAGTTGGATGTAATGTTTGTGAGAGAAAAAGTGAAATGATTATGGGTTTGATATGACATTTTGTCTTATTAGTTATTTTAGCCTATTGTGTCTTTTTGTGGATTTTAGCCTAAATTAGGCGAAAATCCCACTTCCCAAACAGCCCCATAATCAATGAAGTGGCCAATAGTGAATCAAAAGATGATCTTGTTCTAGGTAAATAGGCTGAAAAGAAAAGAATCAAGGTTGCCGTTGGGAATATGGAAGAAAGCTTTATGAAAATTGATTTGGATGAATTCAATTCGAGTAATGCTAGGGATCATGAAAAAATGTCATGAAGATGATCATGAAAGATTATCTATCTTTGGATTATACAAACAATAAAACACTACACACTAATCAAAGGATGAAAAAATTTCATGATGCATTTCATGATATTTTTTCATGATTCCTAGTATTATTCAAATCGAAGATGTATTTCTTGTGCCAATTGACTTTGTTATTCTAGAAAAATATAGAAAAATGATTGAAAAGATCAATCTCTCATTATTTTTTTTGCAATCTCCAATGAAGAAAAGGCGGCGTCAACTTGAACATTTTAATGTGAAGTGATGGATGCAATTTCAAAGCTGGTGGATTCTTCAAAACTTGAGGTCGAGTTTTTTTTTTTCAACCAAGGGAGAATGATGCAGAGTATAAGAAGCTCAAGGAAGAGTACATTCAAAGAAGCGGCAAGATTTGAAAATTGGAATAGCTTCAAACGGAAATCGATAGGAACCTTATATAATTACGTTTCTAATATTATTATAGTTCTATTTTATAATTATATTTATGTTTTATAGGATTTTAAGCTTAGGGGTATTTTGGTAATTTTATATTTGCTTACATGGGCTGTAGGGGTCGCCCCATGGGTTGTCTTATGGGTCAAGTTAATTAATTAGTTTTTACTTATGTTTGTTATTTGGTCTTAAATTGATTTTAGAAGTCAAATATATTGTGATAGATTTATTTATTTATTTTATTTTGTTTTTTTCCTAGTTGGTTTAGGAAATCTCTAAAGTCTATATAAAGTCATGTAATACTTCTAATTCAACAGAGTTTATATTTTAAAGAATTTTGAGAGCTTTGAAGCCTTTTTGGGTTTGTGTGATGCAACCCTAACCCTATGGAATCTAAGTGCGATGCCTAGAACTATCTTCTTTTCTTTTTTCTTGTTTCAATTTACTATTCTCGGATTACTATTCACAGCCCTTTAAAAGTGCACTTTCAACCTTAAAACTTCATCCAATCATTCCCCAGTCACCCTAATCCCTTCCTCAACCTATTAGCCTTCAATTTAACCCTAAATTACTCACTGTTAAGGCTGTCAAATAGCCTCTGTTTTTAAAATCCAGCACTGTCCTACATCACAAGTGACACGTGGAGTCTACGTGACAATGTGTGTAACTAGTGGAGAGCTTATGGTAGAAAGGTTACAAAGGATAAAATTTGGGAGATTAACACAATTTCCCAAATTTGAAATAAAAAATATGATAATATTACGTTTAAATTTAAATGATGTTATCATAAAGTTCAAAATTAAAACTGAAGATTGGTCTCTTATTATGTAGATGACCCTCTATAAACATGAGGACCATCACACAAGAGAGGGTACCAGACGATTAAAGAGAGCGAGCCAAGAAATGTGAGAATTCAAGAGCTAGAAATTAAGAGTTTAGAGAAAGTTAGGATCTCGGGAAATAAGGAGCAACAAGCACTCAGCACTCAACACCCAATACACATTGTGATGGCAAGTTCCAGGCAAAGGGTTCCAAACCCATTGATTGTTCTTTGTGTATTTAGAGGTTTTTAAATCCCCGAAATTTTCATGAAATGAATCCATTGCCTAAAATCTTTTATGTTCTTCATTAATCAGAGGTTTAACTTTGAAGTGTGTAATTAACGATTTGGAATCCAAATCAAAAATAGGCACCTGCTATTAAATAATCAACATTATTTAGTTTAAAAACTAAGCAGTGTTTGTGACATGAATTTCGAAATTTGTTAAAGCATTTCATGTTTTGAAATTTGTGTCAACATTGGCGTTACATACCAATGAGCCATGACAACCATTTCCCATGATATGTTCCATAAAACCTTGTTCTATGTTGACAACTATGTGATTAAGTCTAAGGAAGTGAGGGCTGCTGGGGTAGGCCTTCTCCATGGCTGGTTTCCTTGGCCAAACATGACACCATTTGCAAAGCACCCAAGGCTATCAAGAACCAAGCCTTGACTGATTTTTTAGGTCACTTCTCCAATTGGGAACATGAACCGCCCACATAAGAACTCCCAAGGAGTTGAATTTCAAGCTGCTGAGGTTACCATGGAAGTAGAATGGAGTCTTAGCTTCAATGGCTCTCGTCCACTTCTAAAAGATTCCAAGCTAAGAAGCACAAACACTCTTAGGGTGGCATGTCCATGTTGGACACTTCCCGACAAACGTGTCCTATTTTTTTTTATAAAAAAAATTAGCCTTTGACACAACCCAATCACATTTTCAATTTTACAACCATTTTCAAGAATCTATTTGAAAACTCCTCTTTTGATGCTCTTCAAACACCTAGAGGACACACATATCCATCTTTTAAATACACGTGTCCATTGTTTAGACACACATATAATATAACTTAATTGTACGTTTGAACTAATAATTTTGGATCCAATGATAAAACAAAAACAACGTAAATTTATAGAAATTAGTGTTATATTGTATTTTTGTTTATTATCTTTCAATGACAAATTCTGATATATGACATTTCATAAATATATATTTTGTGCATATCCCTCACTTGTTGTGTCCTGCATTTTTCAAAAATTGTTGTGTCAATGTGTTCATGTCATATCGTGCGTTTGTGTCCATGCTTCTTAGATCCCAACATACCCAACTTTGACTATGCTAAAACACCAAGTCTCTAAGACTAAAATGACTATAATAAACCCTGACCTAACCAACCACAAAAACATCTCAAAGTGCCTAACTTAATACTATTATATACATGTATGGATCTGCATCATTTGAGCCCTCAATTCTTGATAGATGTTTATCCAAAAATTAACCAATTAATTGAAATGTATGTACCACTTATGATTGTTTATGCTTTACGTGGAGTTTAGGAATATGGATTCCATACCCTGGATTTGAAATTTGAGGCCATCTCAGAACAAATTTTGAACTGCTAACACCCTCAAATTCTAACTCTATGGTGTTGATTCCGTTCTTCAAAACACACTCTTTAAGATCTCTTGTTATTCTTGGCTATTGTTGTACGGTATACCATAATTTTGTCATCAAATTTAGATGCAATATATCTGTTCTTACTCTCTTGAACTGCTGACTAACCACAAAAACATCTCAAAGTGCCTAACTTAGTACTATTATATACATTTATGGATCTGCGTCATTTGAGCCCTCCATTCTTGATAGATGTTTATGCAAAAATTAACCAATTAATTGAAATGTATGTACCACTTTTGATTGTTTATGCTTTATGTTGTGTTTAGGAATATGGATTCCATACCCTGGATTTGAAATTTGAGGCCATCTCAGAACAAATTTTGAACTGCGAACACCCTCCAATTCTAATTCTATGGTGTTGATTCCATTCTTCAAAACACACTCTTTAAGATCTCTAGTTATTCTTGGCTATTGTATGGTATACTGTAATTTTGTTATCAAATTTAGATGCAATATATCTGTTCTTACTCTCTTGAACTGCTGACTAACCACAAAAACATCTCAAAGTGCCTAACTTAATACTATTATGTACAAGTATGGATCTGCGTCATTTGAGCCCTCCATTCTTCATAGATGTTTATCCAAAAATTAACCAATTAATTGAAATGTATGTACCACTTATGATTGTTTATGCTGTATGTTGTGTTTAGGAATATGGATTCCATACCCTGGATTTGAAATTTGAGGCCATCTAAGAACAAATTTTGAACTACTAACACCTTCCAATTCTAATTCTATGGTGTTGATTCCATTCTTCCAAACACACTCTTTAACATCTCTTGTTATTCTTGGCTATTGTATGGTATACCGTAATTTTGTCTTCAAACTTAGATACAATATATCTGTTCTTACTCTCTTGGACAGGTTGCAACTTGGTTGGAATTGTATGAGAAACTGATGCCAAATGGCCGTCTTATGGTGAATTGTGGTGCTGCTAATGATGGAGCATCCAATACAATTTCCCCTGAAGTTTCATCAATTGATGGCACCTGGGTACAGAATTCTACTATCAAGGCATTATGCCAAGCATTTCCTGGACATGTAGGATACTTAACGTTCAAATTTTGTATGCATAACTTTGAGTTATTTGATTGCCATTCATTAGTTTCTAGCCACTTATCATCCTACATATGGTTGTGGTTTTGCAGTTTTAGTTGGGAGACTTCATGCTATACTAATAATCTACTTAACAATACCTGACAATGTCTGTACTAATAAAACTAAAAGCTACATATAATCGTAATACCAATAAGGTGTATGTTATATTTTGGCTAGACCTCAAAGGCGTCTCCTCAGAAACTAAGATATTTTGGAAAGTAGGGTGATCTTGCTGAGTACAAGCATGTTTTCTTCTCTAGGGTTTACCTCTAGTTAGAGTTTTTTCTTTTCTTTTTAGGTCTAGGCTCTTATTAGCAGCTCAAGGTTGGAGAATATGTATGAGAGAATTTAAGAGCTTTGGAACAGGCGAAGATGCTGTTTCGTAAAACTGAAATTTAAGTACTGAGAATTTTTAGTACTAAATTTCTACTATTGAAACATTTAAGTACTGAATTTTTTAAATTTGGAAATTGCAAGATAAACATTTTAATTAAGAATAAAAATGAAACATACTATCCGCTGAGCATATTTAGCATTCATTGATAAGTCGTCTCTTTGACTTATAAGTAGGACCCATTTTTAGTCAATTTTCAAATTTAAGTGGCGGCGTGCTTATGTGCTATCAAATGCACTTAATTATGAAACCACTAGGTGTGCTTATTTTTTAGCACTTAATTGAATTATCAGAATAGGGCCTACGGCTAAAGGTTAAAGATAATGAGATAACGGTTGCAAGTGGTTTGAGAGTACATGGTTGGAGGAATTGTGGTTTGGTGGGTAAAGATGGTAGAGTCCTATCTTTGTGATGCAGCAGCATTTATTAAAAGTAGGGACAATTGCAAGTTCACTACTCCTACTATCCTAGCTATATAAGGTGTAATTTAGTATATTCAGCCATCAGTATTTCTATAGTTTCAGGAGTAGATTGGCCTTGTGAGATTTATTTTTGGCTTGGTTTAGTGTTGATGGTAGAAATATTTCATTCATTGAGTTTTGGGAGACACAGAAAAGGGGGAAGGGAGCCCTTTACCTCCGGAGTTCCATTTTTCTGTGGTGCTAGAATTCTTAAAGCTCTTGCTGAAGGAACTTGTCTTCAAATCATGAGTAGCAGAATGGAGACTGAAGTTGTGATGATTTGGGGTGCAATTGCAGAGAAGCATTTTTGTGAGGTTGCAAAAAGGATTTTAGTTGTAGGGTTTCCAGAGAAATTAGCTCTAAATCATTTTGGTCTATGATAGTTTTAAGGATAAGAAAGTGAAATAAGTTTAGAGAAAAATACATAGAAAAGAAAATAAAAAATGGCATAATTTATGTTAGATTTAGTAAAAGTGCCCAAATTCAATTGTTCAAATGAAAGAGTAATGCTATATGAATATACAAATCACACAAACTATTCTTACTCAGAGGTGTGGTGGTTAAGTTGCTTCTCTACCTTATTATTTTAGTGGGTCTGTTTCAAATCGAAAAACAGATTGTGAGGTTTGTATGTTGTATCCAAATAAGTGCATTGAATTTGTGAATATTCTCTTCTTATTAGTTTAATGTATGTGATGAGCCTTGTGGTTGATGATATAGTTCATTACATGTTTTTTAATTCTAATAATGAAAGAGAATGTATGCTTCCAAAATTTCATTCAATATTAAAAAAATATATGTTGAACTATCAGAATAAACAAAATTATCTTATTTAGGAATGATTTAAAATTAAACTAAGATAAATTAAGAATGCAAAAAATAGTGGGTCAAAATTAAGAAGATTTTCTTGGTAAATCTTCCTAAATGAGTTGCAAATTTTAGTAGGATTTAAGATGTTCTCAGGCAAGCTAGTTTATCAATTTGTTCATTTGTGCTTATGTTGTATTGTTGAATGCTTATCCCTAAGCTGGAAAAGAGCTCACAAGTTTTATTTGACAAATATAAGTTAGTTTATCAATTTGTTGATTTGTGCTTATGTTGTATTGTTGAATGCTTATCCCTAAGCTGGAAAAAAGCTCACAAGTTTTATTTGACAAAATAGTTAAACTGGAAGAAAATGCCAAAAGAAGACGGTGACAACTATCTCGCCCTGACAGGACCTTTGCCAGATTTGAGTATGTGGTCTGCTGCTCTCCCAAATCCATTGAGCTCGACTGTCAAGCAATGGCGGCGTTGCTTGCCTTCATGACTCTTTTCTTTCGACTACTCTCATTTCAATGTTGCAACCATGAACCTACTGGTCCTGCAGTTTGAGATCAGTATGCTAAATCATCACAGAGCAGGTGATTGTAAGGACAAAGTTTCATATTTAGAGGTTTGATTCCTAATTTTATTTTATTTATTTATTTATTTGTTTTATGTATGTTAAATTCTCTTAAATCTGTAGGCTTTGCTCTCTTCAAAGTGATTGTGAAGAAGCATGGACATTTCCAAAAAGGAGCTGGTTGTGTCGAACGCTGACGCTTGTCAAACGCTTCCTATCAAACACTCATCCAAACATGTCATTTTTTATTTATTTAATTTTTTTTTGGGGAGAAATTACCAAATAAAAAAAATAAAAATAAAACAGAGGTTGACCATTGTAACAAAATAAATTCTGAATTTATAATTTTATCAATTTAAAGCCTAAACTCTTGATTTGTTTTTAATATAAATCATATGCCTAATTTCATTAAATAAAATCGATGGAAAAAAATGATATTTTAGTTAGTAAACTCAATGAAAAAATGTATTTTAGACATTTTTTGAATACTTATGTTTAGTTTAATGATTAAAATATTTGTTTTTTTATCAGTTTTACTTAATGAAAATATAATGATAGTTTAAGTGGAAAATAAATTAAACAATTTAAAACTCTGGTTTATTCTGATACATGATCAAACTCAAGGGTTTTTTTTTTTTCCTTTTTTTTTTCAACAATGCTAGGGGGCCACAATTTTTGTGGCCACAATGGCTCAAAATTGTCAAAACGATGTCGTTTTGGCATGTTTTGCACCAAAAAATGACGTCGTTTTGACAGTTTTGAATCATTGTGGCCACAAAAATTGTGACCCTCAAACATTTTCTTTTTTTTTTTTTAGACCCAACCCTCGTGCACATGTCAATCACCCAGATACATTAAGAAAGCATTACACGTTGAAAGAAAAACAAATAGGGATCCAATTAATAAAAAACAAATGTAGATTTGTTTCTATTAATCCTCTTCCTTGGACTCTTAAGTTGCGTTTTTATAATTTTTGAATAAAATATTTGTTTCTATTAATCCTCTTTTTTTAGTGTTCTTAAGCGTTAATCTTTTTGCTAAATGACCAAACTATCCATAAATAGATATATATCGTTTTGTTCAATTTGTGTTTTTGTTCCCCAGACCTTCTCTCTCCTCTCAACCTCGTTTCTCTCCTCTTCATCTTCTCTCCCGGTGCCAGCATGGCTCCTCATAGTTACATTGCCGCCGCATTGGCTCCTCTTTCACCTTTGGCCGTCGCCTCATGCTGAGAGAGTTGGCATCGAGGCTTTGTTGTTGCTGAATCCACACTTGTAGTGGTTCCTGAATCCACACTCTCTTATGTGATTCAATCATTACACGTTACATACATGCTTTTGTGTATATATATAAGAACCCTTTAACTGGTTGGGGTTTGCCTTTTCTTTTCGACTTTGTTTTTTTATTTTGAATAATTTATTAATTGTGTCTTATATGTTGAGTGAGAGTTTTTTTGTAATTACGCAAACATTTTTAGTTAATTATGCAACATATTTTTTTCGTAAATATGCGAATATTCTTGATCAATTATGAAATATAAATCTTTTATTTTTTTAACAAATTACAAATACATCCATTAGGTTTGTTTAAAATAAGAATTGGTTTTGTAATATTAGAAATTACTACTACCGTTTATTATAAATTTTTATTTAACACAATACTTAGGGGAAAAAAAAAATAAAAAAACCAATTCTCTTATGTAATAATAAATTATCAAAATTGTTTATTGAAAATTATTATGTTATTTTTTAATAAATCATCTTTCTAAGTATTTTATTCCATCTAATTCATTTTTTTTTTTGAATATTCAATTAAGTCCTGTTTAATGTAATATGACCAAATCACCCTTTCTAATTTCTTGCACTTGTTTCTATTTTGAAACTTATACATAATAGTCCCTCATTTTATGACGAAAATCTCTCCCTCATTATAAATAGAAAATCTCTCTCATTCTATGGAGAAAATCTCTCTTATTCTAAGGAAAAAAATCTCTCCTGCATTTCATTGAGAAAATCTCAAATTATAAATTTTGAACTCTTTTATAATTTGAAATTTTTTAAAATAACACAACAAAAAATCTAAATGAAAATCAAAATACAATGTGAATGTTCATAGTAAACAACAAATATATAACTAACTTTTGAAAAAACAAAAAACATACTAAAATATAATGTTTGTTCACAATAAACAATAAACATGCAACTACATTCGAAAAAATAAAATTCATATCAAAATATAATGTGAATGTTCATAATTTATAATTAACATATAACTAGTCTTAAAAAAAAATAACTCGTACTAATACAAACATTTACACTGTAATATGAACATATAAAACAAAACTGAAAAAAAATTAAAATTGACTATTTCAATTGTTCAATGGTAGTAAAAATGATTGTTCAACTAACAAGTATAGTAACTAAAATAACAAACATACAATTAACTTTCGAAAAAACAAAACTTACATCAAAATACAATGTGAATGTTCACAATGTATAATTAATATACAACTAGTTTAAATAAAAAAATAAACTCACACCAATGTGAACATTCACATTACAACGTGAAAACATAAAATAAAATTGAAAAAAATAAAAATCGACTATTTCGATTGTTCAATGGTAACAAAAATGATTGTTCAATCAATAAATATAGTAAAGAAAATAACAAAATACAACTAATTTTTGAAAAAAATTATAAAAATAAAAATAAAATAAAAAATAAAAAACTCACAGCAAAATATAATGTGAATGTCCACAATTTACAATTACATTCAACTAACATTAGAAAAATTAAATTCATACCAATATGAACATTCACATTGCAACACGAAACAAAATTGAAAAGAAAAAAAAAAGAGAGACTATTTCAATTGTTTATTAGTAACAAAAAAATGATTATTCATACAAGAAGTATAGTAACAAATAACCTATAATGTGAGAACATTCACATCTTACAAAATATATAATTATATCCATATCCATATGTCAACACTTATTTCTTAGACTTTCAAAGAATGTGAATTGTGAACATTCACACTGATTGACAAAAAAAGAGAAATAATGGCATCAATAGAATTAGAAATAAAAAAAAAAAAAACTCAATCACTCTAAAAACAAAAAAACAAAAAAAATATCACACGCGTCCTCATCTTCATCATTATTATCATCATTAACAATCTATGCAATTTAACCATTCCATCAATCAAAAGCAAACCGAACTCACATTTAAAGAATATGTTTGTAACAAAATTGACTGGACTTAAATAAAGTTTTGACTTACAATAATGGAGAAATATAGAGTAACAAGAAGTGATAATGGGGGAACACAAAATTTCACCGCAACAATGGGGAAACATATAATATTATTTCACTACAATGTGTAAACTAGAATTTTTGAACCTTATCAAATAGACAGTTTCAAAACCTTAGCACAATGAAACAATACCACAAATGTAAATGAAATTGATCAAAAAGAAAAACGTGAATAATGGTAACTACCAAAATAGATGTAGCAACAAAAAAGAAATATGTATATCATTTTTCTATGTAATACATATCAACAATAAACATAAAGGTATAATAGTCCAACAAGCAATATAAATCAGGAAAAAAAGGCCTCATGGAATAAAAGTATAAATACATGAGACTAACTAAGTTATAATTTTCTTTGGTGGACTTATTGGATTAGAATACTTCTAAATGAGATTTATTAATAAAAAATCTAAAATTATTTCTCATATCATTAAAAACTATTAATTGACTTAATGATTTATTTAATAACAAAATGGTTAACTGAAAAATATTTTTCATATCATTACAAATTGTTAATTTACTTAGGGCTCGTTTGGGAAGTTGGCTATTTTGGTCGGCTATTTTAATTTTTAGTTATTTTAATAGGCTAAAATATTTGTGTTTGGAAATATTAAATTTTTTTTTTAGTTAAATGTGATGTTTGTGAGAGAAAAAGTAAAATGATTATGAGTATGATGTGATATTTTGTGTTATTAACTATTTTAGCCTATTTTATTTTTTTTGTGAATATTAGCCAAAAAAATCCCCCAAACCCAACTTACCAAACACCGCCTTAATGATTTACTTATTAATAAAATTGGTCATTCATTATGCAAGTATGATTTATGTATTAATAAAATTAGTTTTTTGTATATGTATGTATTTTCTTTTGCTTCTTTATTAGTTCAATGAATTATCTTAATAGTTTTTTTAGATGAGAACTTTATCTTAGTATTTGTTTTATAGTTATCTGTTGAGAAAAGTTACACACTATAATTTCTTTCTTTTTTTTTTTTTAATAAATTCGGAAGAAATGTTAAAGATCATAAATTCACCCAAAATGATATGATAATAAAATTGGAGTCTACATCATTAGTTGTATAACAAATCAAAAAATGATATATACCATACCACATAATTCTATTATATATCTAATAATTTATTTTATTCAATTGTATAGAACAATGTTTTAATTTTTTTTAAAAAAAATATCAAAATATAGAACTTAATTATACTGTAAACCAGTGCCTTGCACGGGCCTTCTTAAACTAGTATATATAAATGTTTGTTTGTGTTGAGATTTTGGGACCCTCTGCTTTTTAGCTAAAATGGATTTGGGTTCCATGTGAGTTTGAACAAATTAGCTATCGTTGGTGACCATTTTTTCCTTGTTCTTTCTTTCTTTCAGTTCATTTTATTTTTTTCATTCTGCTATATTTTTGCTAATAGATTACATTATTAGAATTTGTGAACACAGGGTAACTAAAACCATGTTTCAAACCAGTGGTCCTTGCACAATTTACTTACCCAAAAAAAAGTTCTTGTACAATTTCTTGATTTGAGTTTGTTATAATTCCAATGTGTGTGGGTGTGTGTTTGTGGAGATGAATCTGTATGTAAAATAATTTGAGAATGAATATTTTAAACAGATAATGGATCATCTGTGTGTGTGGGTGTGTGTTCCCTCCTCTTTGACTTGGAAAACAATTTGAACATATCACTCCACTAGGTTCAGATAATAACAAAGATCGGTTGAAATAGATTAAAAAACGATCTAATCCATTCAAAAAGGATTCGATATGTTCAAAAAAAATGAACAGATACGTTGAGGTACATTCAAAAAATTGAATAGATAAAAAAAGATTTCAACAAATAGGAGAAATAATAGGCTTGGCAAATTCAACAGACAGAATAGAATAAAAATTTCAACAAATAGTTATTAATAAAAATTAAAAAGATAAAATTGGAAGCAAAATATCTTAACAAATAACAAAATGTACTTTTACCACAATATTTCACAAAGAGTGTACTTTTCACCAAAAGAAAAAAAAAAAGAAGCCAAAGAACTTAATGTCTTACACCCTCTTAAAATTGGACTTTTCATCAATTTTATCTAAATAGATTTGTTTGAAATGCTGATTGTCTCTTGTGATTTTAAAAATTACAAATACACTTTTATAAGAATTTTTTATTTAACAAAATTAACAAAAAAAACAAAATTTCTAACTACTTTCTTATATAGTAATAAAATTATTAGAATTATTAATTGAAATATATTTATAACATCGTTAAAACTATTAATTGACTTAATGATTTATTAATAAACGAAATTATTTGTCATGCGATAAAAAATTTCAAGAGCGGTATGTAATTTTTAAAATCATAGGAAGCAATTTGTATTTTAAACAAATTTCAAGAAATGTATTTATAATTTAATGTGTATTTATAAATTGGAGAAATTTACAACGTGCAACCTTTCAAATGGTGCACATCATAAAAAAGTAAAGATTTTTTATGATGAACGTTATGATTGTTCATTGAGATGGTAATTTATGTGTAAATTGGGCCGAGCTAAGTGCAACTGTTGAAATGGACCGAGCTAGGTCCAATCTCTTAGATGTTGGGCCGAACTACAGGCTGAGGTAATGCAGCTCGGTCCTTTATTCCGACAGTTTGGTCAGAGGTAGGCTACCAGTGGCCTGGTCTAGCTGTCCTAGACTGAGGTATCGAAGGAAAGAGGACCGAGGTGTATGATAGCTCTACAGGACGTCGTCTAAACAGTAAAGACTTACGATGTTGCCTAAAGTAGCACCGAGCTGTGTGAGCACGGTTGAGTCTGGCGTAGGGCGCGACCATGCTAGCTCAGTTGAGCTGTTACCAAACCGAGGTAAAGAGGTTTAAGCCATCTCACTTGGTTGGTAGTGAGTAAGATGTTATTAGGATAGGCATTATCCTTGAGAGTGTGATTCCTAAGAGGACTCTGCTAAAGAGAGTTGAAGTCCTACTAGGATTGTGCCAGGCGGAATCTATAAAGCTCATGACAAGACCTATGTACAGGTATTACAATTTCTACTCTCGAATACACAGAGCTTTTGTGTCTATTGTTTATTTGCTGACTTAGGCATTGGAGAGGTTTCCGCACACCCGCCAGC